AGCCTTGCAGCCGTTAATTAGTTTCAGTCAAGTAGGCTTACAAGTGATGGCACTTCTTTTAAAGCAATACAAATTGTGTTCCCACTCTACACTGTTTTACTACTCAAGTTCCAACTCTACATTGTTTTATCACTTCAGTCAGGTAAAAGAAACAGGGGTCACTCTTATTTAGCAATTGGACGTAACACTTCACCTAGGTGATAAGAAAGTACCTCTATGTATTTTTCTTCTTCTAAAGTATGTTAACCACTTTCCTTCCCTGTAATTTTCTACCAAGTCCAGAGTTCAGGTCTCATTGAGTTATGCGTCTTCCTCAGTCAAAACAATGGCAACCATAATTCTCCCTCAGCCACCACTCCACTTCAGCCAGACATTAGAATATAGGTTCTTTTCTCTGATTTTCCTGGGATGGGCTTTGGACTCGGCTTGATGTGTCCTTGCAGCAGCCTGGCAATTTCCTGGATTTTGTGAAGTTACGGTTGTGTGTCCAAGACTCACGTTGGGATTCTGAGGTCAATCTAGGCTCACAATCCAGTGTAGTGCTGGCTGAGCACTGCATTATCAGCCGTGTTGCCCTTCAGATGTTTATAGTGTTTGTTGGCAGTGTCATCCTTTGGTGAGAAGGGAGTTTCTCCTGATTTATTCCACCACTTCAGCATCTTTTCTCTCCAGTGCTACAATATTTTCTCAACGTTTGCATGTTTTCTGAAAAAGCAAAGGAACAAAATTGTAGAGCAATTAAACAAAATATGGAATACAGAGTGAGAGCCACTAAGCAGGTATCAGCCTGGTCCAATGAGTAGAACAATTGCCTTTTGAGTCAGAAGATTGTGTGTCTAAGATTCACTTTGGGATTCTGACATCAGTCTAGACTGTGCAGGTGTCAGTCATCCTTTGGCTGAGAAGGGAGATTTTTCCTGCTTTCCGGGCCAAAATTCCCCAAGATAAGAGAAATGGTCGTTCACTTTATGGCCGTTTGTGGAAGATTGTTGTGAGCAAATTGGTTGTCACGTTTGCCTACAAATGCATAACCTCTCCACTACAGAAAACTCTCAAGCGCTTTGAGATGTTTTGATGTGATAACATGCTATGTCAAATTCAAGGATTATTACTACCAAAATTCACCAATGAAAGGCATTGTGATTTCAATATCAGATAGAGAAACAGAGTGGTGTACATTGGTCAACGGAGATTTGGACCAACAAACAAGAAATGGCTTTAAATATTAAGGAATATAAGTTAATGCATATTGGTGTTAAAATAGCAATTCTAATCACATGTTGTAGGTCCAGTGGGGTATTGAAGTGCATCAGGGTAAGCATTTGAATGTGTTAATTGAGCAGATGTTCGAACCATTGTCTCATTCAGTGGGTCAGTAATTTCCATTGCAAATAAAATGTTAGGATAAATCTTTAATGTTGACTTCCAGGAGAGTGATACTGACAATCAGTAAGTAGCGATCAATTCTGTCTGTTTTTTACCTCAATATTTGCATAAGAATATAGAAGGGTATTAGACAGATTTCAAAGAAGAACTAGTTTAGTTTTGGGTCTCAGGTGATTTTTGTCATAAAGATAGTTAAAGGAGTTAAAAAGTAAAATTACGAAACAAAGCTGGGGAGCCAGGACAAGACAACAAGGAGACAAATATAAGTTAAGAAAACTCTGTAATAAGCATAATTAAATAATTTCATGTAAAATTGTGAAGTAAAATGACACACATGTTGTATTAATCCTTTCAAAAATTGACATATTTCAAATTCAGTACAATACAGTATACATTTACATTTATAGTGTCTGCCAAATTGGGAGGACATCCAAAGGTGCTGAACAGTGTTAGGTTTGCACTTGAGTTGGAGGTGAGACCAATGAGTGGGATGAGGGGGAAAAGATGGCCAAAAACACGGTTAAAGAGGAAAGTCTTTAGGTGGACCTTGAAGGAGGCGAAAAAAGGGTTCAGTTGAAGGGACTCCAGGATGAAGTAACCTGTAGAAGAATACAATATGAAAAGGTTATTTTCAGGCATAATGTTGTGGTTATGAAGGAAGATTTTCTGACAGGTTGTTACTTTAACTACTTTACACAGAGACTGGAATGAATGACCAAAGGATGACTGATTGTTTCAGGAAATATCTGGCAAAGAATCTGAATAAGCGTTTTACAGTGTTAAAATCATAGAAATTAAAGAACACAGAAAGGCCTCTCAGCCTAAGCTTGTGTTTCCCTTGAGGAATATTAGCAGAGTGTATGATTTGTATTTCTTGTGGCATCAGACAGATGTAACACAATCTTTTCTGGTCCTTTAAAACATAAGAACATAAGATTTTGCTAGGTGAAAGAAGACCAATCTAGTTCACCTTCTACCATCCTGTTAGATGCTTAACATATCGTGCCCTAAACTAAATATTATTTACAGATGTAACACAATCTTTTCTGATCCTTAAAAACATAAGAACATAAGATTTTGCTAGGCGAAAGAAGACCATGGTCCATCTAGTTCACCTTCTACCATCCTGGTAGACGCTTGACATGTCGTGTCCGAAACTAAATATTATTTCCCAAGATATTATTTTCTAGCAGAAATCTATCTAATTTGTTCTTGAAACAAACAAAATTTTCGCCTTCCACCATCTCCCTGGGGAGCCTGTTCCATAAGTTTACTGTTCGCTCACTGAGGTAGTGTCTCTGGAGATTTGTTCTGAATTACCACCCTTCAATCACAAGCTGTGTCCTTTATATTGATAGATTCCCTCAGAGGGGGCATTCTAGGAAGATTGGTGGGAGCAACCACACTGGTTTCATTTAAGAAATGGGAAGTGATAGGAAGACAGTAAGGTTTGGGTCCTGGAAAGATTAAATCAAATGAGCTTAGGTGGAAAGGAACTGGAAACTTCTAAGGTAGATTATGAACATGCATGTAAATAATAGGGTAAGATGGATGAGATCAATGGACTTTGTTTTTTGTTCCAGTTTATTTTATTTTTGTGCGTCAATGTAATGACAAGTTCTGTGACACTCTCAAAGGGGGATTTTCAAAGGGACTAGTAGTAAGTAATATTGAGATCCATAATTAGAAGTTTGGGTTTGTCCTCTGAACCTCTGGAAAAAGGAATGAAAAGTGAAGGTTGTGATGGCTTGATGGTCTTAGTTTGTGGAGGTTTGGACTTTCAGCTTTGGATGTAAAGGTTGACTGTGATCTTCAATAGACAATTTGTGCTACTTCTGAACTGGGCTACTGGGTGTTGCTGATGGATCACTTTATTTTAATGAGAATCTGGTTTTCTGCAATAAGAAGCCAAAACATTTATCAATCAAATTCTGATCGACTGATTTGCTTAGTATTGCTCACCAATTTTGAAGCAAAATTAAAGGCCATGAAAAAAGTTGCAACCAAGACCATCGGGGCCTCCCACTTAAGAAGAGGCTCAATATCAAAGAGCAGTTGCAGGGAATCTAATTGGTACACAGAAGATTTTAAATGCAACAACATGTCGATGAGTTATCGAACTTTAGATTTTCCTTGTACTGAAACATTGTGCCAAATTTCACCAATATTGCATATAACATGTAAGCATTAATAACATGGAAAAGGCAACTGAATTGTCTCAGACATAGTTAACATCTAATGCTTTCATTATGTTTTCTTATTCAGTGAAATATTAATGTTGTTGGATATATTAAACACTGCCCTTCTGTTCACCCTTTCTCCCATCCTATCCATAAAATAATACAATTACTTTGTGCATCTTAGTTGAGACACTACAGAACATCCTATCTGATAAAATATATATTTAATTGTGCAATTTATTAACCTTAAAAATATACCCACTTTCTAACAATTGTAACCTTAACCAACTGAAGAAAGTTGTGATCCCTTCCGTAACTTAAGTTTTTTTTTACATGACTAACATTTCTTGTCTTTGTACCTATACACTTGCATTAATCCTCAAAGTTTTGCAGTCATAAAATAAATCCAGAAATATCACAGACCAAACACCACACACTAATTGTTATAAATATGATCCGTTTTCAAGAGTCCACTAAATAACAGTTCAGAATTGTGACCGTAATTCGTAACCTTGCCTTGTATTTGCCTTGTATTACCTCTTGTATACCTTGTATTTTTCAGCACACAATAAATGTTACCGCCCGATAACTGTAAACATGCAAAGAAATTTAACAGAGTGAGGAAATAACTGTAAAATATGCTTTGCTTTTGGACTTCTATCTACAAGACTGTATCAGACCAAAGTCATTTTTTCTTGAGCTTCAAAGCTGAATTTTCTTGTGACTTTTTTTAAAAAAAAACTGACAAGTAATTTTGCTTCAGTTTCAGACTTGCTTTAAAGTTTGTTGCAAAATGCATGGGCAATTCATTTTACACTTATTTTACTGGAAATTTAAAACAAAATCAAACCTCAAATTCCCAGATGATAGTTAAAGAAAAGGGAAGCATACTTTCCTTGACAGTTTTACTAATTAGGTAAAGTGAGTTTTATTGTGTTTAATACAATGAATCTTATTCCTCCTAGGTACATTTTGCTTTAACCAATTAAGTTCTTAGTGTCTTTCATTTGCAGTGTACATGCTTTCAATTGCTACAATAAATTCTCAAGCTAAGGTATTCAATGTTATAGGGGAAAAGAAAATAGTATGTAGCAATTAGCCGGTTTTAAAAGTGTTTTGATTATTTAATTTTCTTCTCTTGTCTTTCTGTGATGATACACATGTTGTCTTTAATTTTGTTGATGAGGAAAAAGTATGTTTTATCCTTCAAGCCTCAGGGTGGCTTTCATTTGTTCTTTCATTTATTAAACCAAATGGTGCGTGCTTTGTTTTTTTACATTGTGTTGACGATTTGTTTTTATTGTCGATGAATGTTATATATGAAAATGTTAACATGGATGAATCAGCTAGCGTTCACCAGGTATCTGTTTCTTTAATTCATTCAAAATTTTCGTCATCGGAATCCTGGCAATGTCTGTCTTCTCTGTTCTGCAGAAATGTTGAAGGAGTTGAACCAGCAGCGCAGAGCGAAAGAGTTTACAGACCTGAAAATAACTGTTGAAGGCAAAGAGTTTGAAGTCCATCAAAATGTTCTAGCTTCCTGCAGCTTGTATTTCAAGGAACTGATCAAAAGGTTTGCCTTCCTCAAGCTGTGATCTGGTCGGTTCTTTTGTAGGGTTCATTCTTGCTTTCCTCTCTTGCAGGGCTATGAAGATAGAGCCTCCTGTCACAGGGCCAGTAGCCATTCTTTCTACCGTTTCAGATGAATGTATTTCTAAATTGAAAGCAAATCTAAATTTATTTGCCTGTTATATTTTCAATTAATAGCTGCTTCATTTGGAGTGAAGAAATGAGATGTTCCATGACTGAGGATCCCAATTTATTTTTGAGAAAGCGTTGCCATTCTGAGTTGTTTTTTCCTGTACGTTTTAGATTGTTGCCTTTACCTCACTTGTATTTGTAAAGTACAGCTGTTTGGGGAAAGTTCACTTTCAACCAGATGTGCAGATATTATGAACAGTTTTCCAAGAATGATTTATCATACTTTATCATCTCACTGGTGAAGGAATTCCTATGGTGCTCTCACTCGACTATTCACACATCACCGTAGCGAATCTACCTAGATATTATGTTGGTTAAATAACACAGCAATAAGAAATGCAAGTTAAAATCAACTCTTAAAAGCAGACAATTGAACTCCATTAGATAATTATAATCTATGTTTAATAATAAGGTTTGTATGCTGAAATGGATAGATGCTTTTCTAGAATACTCTTGATACATTAGAAATAAATAGACAAATAGAAATGCTATGCAAGCATATAAGTGATTGCAAGGAAGTCTCCAAAAAATTCTTTGCTGCTTGAAATTAAATGGAAATGATAGCTGGAGAATCTTTTAGCTTTAAGGGATATGTGCAATCATTTTTCAGCTCGCTTAAACTTCCATCAGCTGCTCCATTAAATTTAATGTAATGGACATCCATGGTTGCATTATGCTTAAATTGAACAAATAGTTCCTTGAAGATAGCATGACATTAGATGCAAGAAAAATTAAGAAAGGAATCCTTCTGATGGTTCGATAAAAGCAAATGTGAAATCGAGCATCAGCTTTTGAACCATGCTGTGGCATAGTTGATCAAAATATTGTAAAGCTCAGTAAGAAGTGAACTTTAGATTGGATTAGCTCTTATTTTAAAGTCTATTCAGTCTAATTGAAATTAGATCAGTGGGGTGGCAGTAGTTTCTACCAGAAGTGTTACATTAAAGAGAATATTCAGGGATCACGTGAGTTTTTTCTAACTGCTGACTAAAACACTAGTCTTACTTATATGACTATAGTTGTAAATTTCATTTCTGAAATGTATATTTGTTCTATATAATGTTTCTTCCAAATTATTGGATTATGCAGGCTTTTTACATAATATGAATGTGGATCAATATTTTGTCTGTGGGAATACTAGCGAACTAAGTGAAAGAAACAAGCTTGAAAATCAGTTGGGTTTATATATAAGTAACAAATACACTGAAATACACTTAATTCTAAATTTATGTAAGCAGAATGTACATAGTTATTCTTTGACGTACTCTTAATAGTGCATATATGTTCTGCTAAGCAATTATTACCATATCAAAATACTGTTTTCATTTATCAGCCTAAGAAGCGAGTTTACATTTATTTGTCATCACCTCTAGCAGTAAAACAATTCGAAGCAGGAAACTCGATTTATATTACTTTTGCTCCAAGTTACTCTCATTGAAGATTGAGGAGAGCTCTATGCATGCCTGACATTGTGCATAAACAGAGGTCTGCTTATCGGCATAAAGCGCTGGTTAATTCTTCAATGCTATTGAAAAGCTGGGAGTGCAATACACTCTTTAATTACATTCTTTTTTCAGTTTAGAAATTTGTTTGAAATTGGCTGCAGTAAATCCTGATTTTAATGCATTACCCGATGGCATCAATTTAGTGATGAAACCACCTTCTGAAACTCATTTGTTAGCAATCCTCTGAATTGAATGGATGCCCTCAAACTCTATCCCTTCTGCAATTTTCATAAGCAAAGGTTAACTTTGTTTTGTAAATAGTGCATCAAGTATGTTTCAACACCACTCGGACTGCAAATGTTTTGCCTTTTCTCATATAATGGAGAATTTGCAAAGAACCTGTAAAAGTCTGTGCTTTAAACAATACTTTGACACTTGTATGCTGCATACAGACTGTGGATAACAGCGAAACCTCTTGTTCATCCACTTTGATTTATTTTCCACATATATAAGCCTAGGTCCATCATCGAACAAAGAAAATTTAGAGCTTGTTGTAGCCCCATAGATGGGAGGAAACTTCTTCCCTTCCCTCTCTGTGTAAGTTCCACAGGCCCAAATAAAATCCCTCTGCTCTATTCTCCAGTAGTTTGCACTGACTCACTGTTGATGTCCCACTAGGAAATGTTTGCCATCTTTTCCGACCTGTGAACTTGTTGTGTATTGTGTTTATACCCATGACTTTTTTATTCTGTGACAAACTAACTCCAGCTGACTGACTTCTTTTCTTTGTCCACACCAGAGCCTTTGATTTTTTTTCCTCAGAATATGCTTATGTTTGAATTAAAGGGTTTTCTTTACAGTGAGTGCTTCCAACATCAATTTCAGCACATCTTCTGATTAAGCTCTCCCAGTATTCACCATTGCTTTTCTTGAATTCCTTCAAGGCATAATGTTAATCAAAGCTTGTTTCCTCTCCACAAGGAAAGAAAGTGCTGGAAAATTATGCTAAAAAAACAAGATTTTATTTCGAAGCAACACACTTACAAAAATGAACCTTTGGATTTGAGATTTGTTGTCTAAATTTTCAGCAGAGGACACCCTAGTATCTCATGGTTGCCATCCTATAAAAGAGCTCTTCTTATTGTACCTCCAGATGCCGACATTCTTCTGTGACCAGGCAGTGAAGTAGCCTAAGTACTGGACCACAAGTCTCAAAGCTCTCGGTTTGATATCTTGCAATCCTTCCAAAGCTCCTCTGACCAGAACAGAAGCAGGAGGTTGTCAGCAAAATGCCCAACTCCAATTCTAGGGACATCTATTTCTCTGAATGACTTTTTAATATATAAAGTCTACAGACAATGGCCGCTGTCTGTGGGCAGTGGGCAGTTGCCTTTGCTGAAGGTAAGGGATGACTGAGGCAGACTTCCCCAGTGCTAGAATTCCCCACTGAAGAAGTGGAGTCCTGTAGCTCAGTGGTTAAAGCACTCGCTTTGCAAGCGAGAGAACTGAGTTCAATTCTAGGCAGGGCGAAACCTTGGGCAAGTTTCCTTACTCCACACGCCTAATAATAATCCCTCCAAAACCAAAAACAATAACAAATTGGTCATTTTCAATCTACGACTGTTTGTGGGACATTGCTGTGCGCAATTGGCTGCTGCGTTCGCCCACAAATATACAGTCAATTCACTTTACAGTGTTCTGTGAAGCGCTTTGGGACGTCCTCCCGACGTGAAAAGCGCTATATCAAATGCAAGGATTATTATTAATATTATTATTATTAACCTAAACTCCCCTCCCGCTCCATTTCTCCATTGAGAAATTATCAGTGGTATTTAAAATCCCCTGTAGAGAATGTCCTGGTTCAATTTGGGGACGAATCCAAGATGCTATGTGTCTGGGACACTCTGCAAATCAGGCTGGTTATTCACCATTGGGTGAATGTTATTTGCCAGCAAGTGTTGTGGGTTAAGCATGACACAAAGAGCACCTGGGTCCTTTTTCAGGGGAACAATGTCACTGGTGAATATTATTGAGATCGTACAATTGATTCGACAGTCTGTTCACAATATGAATGGAAAGTCTGGCACAATTTCTCCCTGAGATTCCAATGGAAAGCTTGACATCTCATGCGGTTCTTTGGTAGATAAACCTTTGGAATGAAAAAAAAGTGTTCGAACTTTAACTGTGTGGCAATTTTAGCTGTGACATTTGATCATTTGGTTCTTTTGCAAATGTTATTCAGTTGGATCTTCTAACTGTGAATTGTTACCACTCATGGCTTTACAGCTCACACCTGTTGCCAAGATCATAAGGCCATTCGTATCACCATTTAGTCAGTATCCTTCTGCACAAGTTTATTTATGATCATTTTGAACCCACGCCATCAAACTTTAATTTCCTCAATGTCAAGGAATGCTGGTTTCTACACATCATTTACTGAGCTGTGAATCTGACACATTTTTCCTACCATTCAGCTCTGTTATTCTTTGGCCTCATCTGAGTTATGCTGATTGAGTTTCATCTCTCTCAAGGAATTTGGGTGAGGAAAAATAAATTCATGTTTAATTTCATTATTGTTTTTGGAGCCTTTCAATCCTTTATCCGTAGAGATTTGCTTAACAATGTGTTTATTTTTAAATTTGCATTTTAGTCCTCATAGCCCCGCAAACTCATGTTGTCTTATCCGCTGAGTCTCTTTTGTCTTAAAATTTAACTTTGCGCAGTATTGTGAAAATTCTTAAATTCACTCTTCATTTGGAAGCTGGTTTCCATAGTGATCATAATAATAATTTTTGCATTTGATATAGCGCCTTATGTCTTCGAGACATCTCAAAGCGCTTCACAGAATATACTTTAAAGTGAATTGACTGTATATTTTTGTGGGTTAAACGAGGTAGCCAATTGCATACAGCAGTGTCCCACAAACAGTCATAGATTGAGTGACCAAATTAATATTTTATTTTTATTTTTGAAAGGTTTATTACCTCTGGAAAAGCGATCCCCCAATCAACTAACAACTGGTTTCCTAGTTACTGCTAGGTAAACAGAGGTGTGTGGAGTAAGGAAACTTGACCAACGTTTTGCCCTGCCAGGAATCAAACCCAGGTCTCTTGCTTGCAAGGCAAGTGCTCTAATCACTGAGCTACAGGACTCTAACAACTAGTGGCAACCAGTGATAGGCTAAGACTAGGTGGAGTTTCAGGCCTGTGTCTTGTGTCCTAACGTATATAACCAGGTGGCATATTAAATGGGCACATTAAGATGTGCCAGAAAAAGAGAAGTCCACTTTATCTGAGCAATGGGTCATCATCAAAAAGTTACTCCACCCTCAGTATAACAAGGATTGTTTATACTAATTTTTCAGCGA